TGATGACAGGCTTGTTCAGTGATAATAAATCTCAGCTGCTTTCCCTCTGCCTATATACCATAATTCAGGGTAGTGGAAAGGTAGCTAATTTATCTGGAAAAGGGATGTGTTTTTCATTCTTTCTACATTGCATTTATTATTGCTTCCATTTTTAAGGGGTTGTGATACTTGCCTGAAAGCTCCATGGCAGTGTGCAAAATGGGGCGTGCAAAATGAGGCATATTCAATTTGGATTCAGCCCAAATTGGGGACAGCGATTCGATTAATTGATTCAGATCACTGTCCCTGATTCAATTCAGCTGAATCTGAATCTGAAGAGTCAATGCTTATTCAAAGAATCAGCGATTTGGCCATAGACAGAGCTTTAAATGTTTTTTCTATGTACTTCAAGGTACCAGGCGTGACTCGTGAATGCTGCAATGTGGGGGCAGATGGAGCGTCGCACAGAAGTGCAAGGGGGCCCTCCATGTGCTCAACAGAAAACCTTGAATTGGGCTGGAAGTACTCCTGGTCCACTTCCAGGTCTGCTGGGGAGCATGCAGGCCCCCCACCCCCGCACTTCCCCAGCTCAGTGATCAGCCACAGGGGGACCCCATGTGCCCCCCACAGACCCAGGAGGCACCAGTCTCCAAGATGGGGGGGCATGGGCGGACCCCCATGCACTCTCTGGCGGACCCTGAAGTGGACCAGAAGTGCTTCTGCTCCACTTCCAGGTCTGCTGCCAAGCATACTGGGGACCCCTCCTGCACTCCCGTGGGATGCTTCATCCACCCCAGCACTGCAGCATTCACGAGTCACACCTGGTACCTTAAGCTACATAGAAAAAACATTTAAAGCTCTGTCTATGTCCGAATTGCCGAATCTTTCCAACTTTCTCTGAATTGATTCAGAGGGTTCCAATTCAATTCATAGAGATTAAAGTGTTTCCTGATTCGGATTCAGAGATTTGGCCACCAAATTGGGCCTAATCTCTGCCGAATCGAATCAGGGACCAAAGCTTCACACAGCCCTAGTATTTACCAGTGCTTTATGAGATTAGAAAAATACATTTAAAATAATGAGTTTGTACCCTTTAAAAAAATGAAGTTGGGATTTACCATTTCAAATGTTATTTTAAGTGGTATAAGGATTAAATAATATAAAATAAAACAGAACCTTAATCTGCATCCCAGATGCAAAATGAAGTGAATCTTTTTTTTAATTAGTTACAGTAAAAAGTAAGTTAGTAGTGGCTGGTTGTATGTTGCTTTGTTTCAGTATACTTGCTTATATATATCTCTGTATTTGTTGGATTCAGAAAAAATACCAATAAGGATAAGACCTTCTTATCATTTGAAAGTATTTGGGATTCTGCCAGAAAACAGTGAAAATTCCAAGAAGGGAATATGTTCACCAGAAATATCCACCTTGTTTCATAATCCAAAATATGTCAGTAACTTTAAATAAACTTCTGAACTTTGGGAGGTTTCTTCTGACCAAGACTACTAAATTATTTTGTTTTCCCTATAGTTAGGAATATGCAAAATACTATTTCCAGAATTAAATAACTGGATAAAAAATCCTGTCAGTGCTATCACATTATAATAAGCAACCTTGCCAAAGATACCATGGTCATTTATTTCTATAGGAAATAAATCTGAATTAAAATCAGACCTATTTCATAATTCCTATTTTGTCATCTCTATTATGTGTCTGCTTCAATCTTGTTTGTCATATCTGATTTATATACTACTTTTAAATGTTCTATAACTTCATAATGCATTTGATATGAATTTGTGTTTAGGGGAGCAGCCAAAATTTGAAAGTAAAGTATTGTTCATATAAGGTTCACTGAAACTCTCTTCCTTAATTCAGAAGGGCCATCTTTGGGAAAGATGAGAGATAAATCACTTTCATTATACACTCCAAACTTCATACAGCCTCAAGAGTGAACGCCAATCATTCTTAGTTCTTCAGCTGTGCACTAATGTACACTAGTCATGAGATGAATTTATTTTACTTAGGACATCACTTTGACCTTGATCCTCACTTCTGCAGTGAAACGCTGTTTATAAAACCTCCAGGTTGACATTTTACAATAGAGTGCAACTCACTTAGACAAATACTTGCTGTAAGGTAAAAACCTTGAAACTAAAATGTCACTTCTGATACAGCTGGCACACTCCATCACTCAGTGAGATCCAAGATGGCAACTCAACCCACATGGATGGTTTTCTGCCATTTACAAAAAAGAATATTTTAAACAATTTTGTTTTCTTTTTTTTTGGTTTGAGAAATAGTTGAAACAGTAACTATCACTATTAAGAGAAGGAATGTGGTCTAGTGGCTAGAACAGATTTCAGAAAACTGGAACTCTTCTGTTCTAATCATAGATCAGCCACTGACTGTCTATGAATAAAATGTTCTAAGGTGCCTGCCTGACTTAGGAGTCTCAGTGAAGCTTAGGTTATAAAGCCTCTATTTTACTTTTAAAAATCAGACTTGTCCTCCAAAGTCATATGGGTGTTTTTGAAAATTTTAACTTACGGGTATTTGACTCAGTAAATCTGTGCTTCCATTTTCCTTCACTTAGTAAAATGGATACAGTACAGATATTACTCTATTATAACTGTATTATAGATGCAGGATATATGTAGACATGTCTATAATATTGATATCTATAACATTATATGTATGATTGTATTATAATGTGTTATATAGTAATGATAGTAACATTCCTAACAACTAGTTTTGGTAAATTGTTTTGAAATCCTCTGAAGAAAGGTATTTTGGATCCATGTAAAGTATTATACTTACTCAATTTCTATTTAGCTTTGAATTGTATTAATTATTTCGAAACTTCAGTTTAATTCAACAGAAGTATGCCCTGAATGTGGACCTCTAGATTTAAAATATTATTTTCACTGTTATTTTAATGCACTCATTCTTTTATTCTTCCAAAGTCAGGTTAAGATGCATCTTTTCTGTTTTATCTTTTTCATCTTCTGGCATTCATGTCCCAGCAGGTAGAATGGTATTTTTTGTACTCTCCAGTTCTCAGGATTGATTTGTACGTGGCTTAAAGAGCAACTGCAGGAGTTTGCTATAGAGTAGAATCCAGATTCTTCATAGGATGAGGTTCCTAAACCCTGTAAAAATGAGGGTTTGCAAACTGGTCAGGGGTATATATAGCCAGAGCAGACAGCTGTGGGGGGACTGCTGAGGCACTCCAGCTATTTGCCACTTTTATTTCAAGGGTACTACTTCTCTGATCAACAGCGCAGGACTCCAACAGTGTGGGGAAGCAGTACTCTTTGAAATAAAAGCTGCAGCAATCAGCTGAGTGGCTCATTCTTAATTCAACAATCTATTGTGAATTAAGCAGGTTGCAAACCTCCCAGATATGAAAAATCTAAGTCCTACTCTACTTCACAATATAACAGTACTGTCCTTCATCTCAGCAATATACACATCATAGAACGCTGATCTCTCAAACCGTATCATCCAGATGGTATGTTGGGTGAACTGACCCTTTTCAAACAAAATGTATTTTGTTTTCTTTATTTAGTTGATTGTTTGGATCCAACCTGCTCCAATCATGGTGTCTGTGTGAATGGCGAATGTCTCTGTAGCCCAGGTTGGGGTGGCCTAACCTGTGAGCTTCCCAGAGCACAATGCCCAGACCAGTGTAGTGGGCATGGTACTTACCTCTCTGACACAGGCCTCTGTAGCTGTGATCCCAACTGGATGGGTCCTGACTGCTCTGTTGGTAAGAAAAATATTTCTGCCTGGATTTGTGGTAATCTTTCTTTCCCATTTACTGTATTGTTTAACATTCTGATGTCAAGGAAGAACCTAAAATACAAATAATTTACATGAAATATAAATTGTTCTTTCAGTGTTTGGACAGTGAAGTCATTTACCATATTTATTTGAATATAAGATGACTCTAACTGTAAGACAACCCCCTAATAATTACATTCTGTATATAGAAAATTTATCCATTTGTTACAATTTTTCAGGGATAGAATCTAAATACGGGAGAGCTTTCTTGTATCCCACCCACCCCACTGCTACAGCCCCTTGCCCTCTGCCTCACCCACTTCTTTCCCCTGAAGACTTCCTGATCCCCCTGCAACTTACACCCCCCACAAAGGGGCCAGCATTAGAGGGCCTGCAGGCTCTTGCTCCCCCCTCCTCTTCGTATGCAAATATAAGACAAGGGGCTTCCCCCCATGCTGACTGGGGGGAAAACCTCATCTTATATTTGAGTAAATACAGTATATTGTACTCTAGTTACTATGGGTAAGTAGCTATTCCTTAAATATTATGTACTATAGCATTTTCAGTGCAGGGCTAGGAGCTTGGAATTAGGAAATGTAATGTTACTGTTCCCAGACTGAAATTTGTGTGGGTTGTGATAGTGTCTCTTTCTGTTAATGTAAGGCTTTGCATTTGTAGGCAATAACCTGTTAATATTTTCAAAACACTTTAGAGTTGGAAAGAACCTTGTATGTACTACTCATTCATAAAAAGTCATAGAACAGCAAAAAACCATTATAATGAAAATTCTTCTCTTTGGCAGTTCAAACAGAAAAAGAATCTAAGCAATTAGTTTCACATCAAGAGATATCTGCAGAGTAAATACAAAACATCCAACTTGCCTAGTGATGCAATTAGCTGAATGTCCCTGGAACTTTGTACTCGTGACAACAGAGAAGTCAGGAAGATCAACTTACAATTTGGATGAAACACTGAATAGTTTATTTGAAAAACAATAATTTAAAATATTATATCTCCTGGAATTTTTCTTTTTATTTGTATTATAATATGAATTTTCAGATTAGAATTCTGTGAAATAGTACTTTGGACCTGTTCTTTAATTCCTTACCTGTGCCCGAGCCAGTTAGCCGTTACGTTAATGTGAGGTTATTGCACCAGCACTGAATTCTGGATGGGGCAAGTAAATATCATGACGGGTTCTTTCTGCTTTGTGTTCTCATCAGCTCTAAAAGTTCATGACTGGGAATTTAACTAGCCATTTCACGGCTAATACTTGAGGCAGAAAACATGACAGTTTTTCTACAATTGTAACTGGCACAGTTCAATATTATGCTGATGTTGGTGGTAAGACTGGATGACTCGGGATTGGCTATAGGTGCGACAGAGCTCTACACCCAGCGTTGCTATTTCCGCTCTCCCCTGGATTCCAAGGGCATGTCTATGCTGTCTTCCAACAGCACTGCCAAGAAGCACACCCCATGTATCCACTTACGTTCAGTGCATGTCCTAGCCCATCAATGAAGCAACCCCCAACACACACACCAATAATTGCTTCCAGGCTTTCTATCTTTAGGTCATGTTTCCTAGCTTATACTTAGGACAGCACTAAACTGGCTGTGCTATCTAACTCTTGAACATGCTTTGAATGAGAGCAAGTGAGTGTAGCATACTAGTTGGCAGCACTCTCAGAAACCCAATGAAGATCTGCTTTGAATGACCCCAAATGAAGTGGGTTGGTGTTGTCTCAGTTGAGTTAACTTACACATTTCCATTCCCAAACACTAACCATAATTATCCCCCTTGTTGGCCATTTCAGCAGAAGACGCTAGCTCTGAATAAACCTTAGGGCCCGTCAGGTAAAGAATCTGATGCAGGATCCAGACAATCACACGTCCTGTCATACCACGCTTGCATGGCAGGAGGCGTGATTATGGGATTGAGCATTAGATCCTATCATGCCTTATTGCTGATGCAGGGGGAGCCCAGGATCCAGATAGTGTGGTCCCACTACTGTGAGTTCCCCAGCTGATGAGGCTCCCAGCCAGGGCAGTATGAGGAACACTGGCCCCACTGCAAGCCCTGTCAGCTAACAGAGCTCTAGGATGTGAAACCCTGGCTCCACTAATAGTTTCATCAGCAGAGGGGCTTGCAGAAGATGGTGTGTCCTTATGGCTGGGGGCCCCTTCGTTCGATTAATAGCATGATGAGAACGAGCCCCAAAGTTATTACCATTTTTCTGGAATAACTTTGTGGCTTATTGCTTGTTTTATCATGCCATTAATTGATTGAATGTATAGCTGGGTCACAACTTAAGGCGTGATTAACCAGTTAATCATGCCTTAAGTGTAACATGCAGATGAGGCCATAGAAATAGAATTACAGTCTTACCCGTAGAAATTATATCTTCATGCCAGGCCTGAAGCATGTGAATGGAGTTGTATGGGAAAACTCATTTGCACTGAACAAAGAAGTCAGCTTTGGACCTGTCAGTGCAGCATTCAGGTTGTGGAATTTGTTATTTTCTTTTAATAAAAACAGGGGTGGAGGGAGGCTGGTTTTGGTGGGAATATGAGCATGCTGGGCTGACAGCATATAGTTTACAGGAGCAAGGTGCCAATTTGTGTTACTTTTCATCTTAAGCTCCCACTGCTCCTTTGCCCAGTTCACAATGACAGTATTCAGCTGTAATCATCCTTTTATTTTTTTATCCACCTAGAAGTGTGTTCTGTGGACTGTGGCACTCATGGTGTGTGCATTGGCGGAGCATGTCGTTGTGAAGAAGGATGGACAGGAGTGGCGTGTGACCAGCGTGTGTGCCATCCCCGCTGCACGGAGCATGGAACCTGTAAAGATGGGAAATGTGAATGCAGAGAGGGCTGGAATGGGGAGCACTGCACCATTGGTAGGCAAACGACAGGCACCGAAACAGGCACATATTGCTTTCTTTTCATAAATCGTAGAAACATAGTTACTATTGTGTATTGTAATAGGCTGTTCCTTTAAGGACCCTAGTGCTTCCAAATATGAGTGCTGCCTCTCAGAATCTAAGGTGGAATGCAGAGGAACTCTGGGAATCATTTAAAATCAACAGCAAACAGAGTCTGAAAAAAAACAAATGCAAATGGACACTAATAAGTAAAGATGTAACAAATGGTCCATCAAGGTACCATCTGAGCCAAGCTTTTCAAACTTAACTAAACATTTCTTTGTGTGAATGGGATCCTTTTTAATTTCCTGGTCTGATGCTTCAGTGCTTTCCTGCTATTATACATCACATCCGAAACACATCACCACAATAACCACACAGAGCAGGGGTCAAGTTGAGGAGGAATAAGTGCTCCCGTTGTTACAGAAATAGCTCCCTAGCATTTTCCCTTGTTGTGCTGTGACAGTGGGCATGGTGTTTGCATATAGATAGTCACAGCATGGGAGGGCCTAGTCAGTACTGCAGCCTGCTGATGTACCCTTTCCTAATAGCATGCTGCTCAGTACAGCATTGGCATCATGCAGAGTGCCGTGACTAACGCGATTGCATCTCAACTGTGATATGTCGGCCGGGGAAGTTCAAAAAGATTATACACACACACACACACACACACACTAAAGATGCTATATCCTTTCAAATGAAAATGCTTTAAATATAAATTTTAAGAGAAATTCATTATTGCTAAATGCAATTCTTTATCTTTTCCTGCAAAAAATTAGGTAACATACTGTATTGCTCAGACTCTGTTGAAAGGTAAGGCCATATTCACTATTTTTCCAGTGTATGGGCAAAAGGGAAGGAGAGTGAGTTTCTAACTGGGCTCGCCTCTGCTAAGAAATCTGAGTAAAAATGATCTGGAACAAAGGAATGTGTCTGCAAATTGAAAGGCTATGCACTTTGAAAGCAGCATGATTTTCTCTTAGAAGACAAATGTGTCCATTTTCCATTTCCCTGGGGCACATATTTTACTATCAAATATCCTTTTAAAAAGTAAAAATGGGTTAAAAACATAGACAACATGATTTTAATTACCTTTAAAAAGTATTTTGTAAAACAGGCAACAAAGAGGCAGTATGCGAATTGAAATTTTATGGCAATCAGGGACCCTAATGGGACAGTCCTATTACCAGTGAATTGTTTCTTCGTAAGCTAAAACCCTGGTCAAAATTTTGCACCCCTTGAGCAGATTTTCTTTTAAGTTTCCCTTTGAATCTCTCTGGATGTGAAAATCTCCTGGGAAACTTACTGACTGGATACTAAAAATACACCTTTATAAATAAGTAATCTATACATTTTAGGGCATCTCCTTTGATGTTGTGGTGCCACAAGCTTCTGATGCTGTATTTTAATATCACTGAAATCAAAGCTTTTGTGATTCAGCACTTTGTCACCAGCGATGCTGCTGAGCGTTTTTTTCACTTTTGTCCTCTGCGCTTCTGCCCCGTCAGTACTTTCCTGCCAGGATAATCATGACATTTTATCACTGTGCTAATTAATTCCTGGACCTTTAAAACATCCAAACAATTGTCAACCCTGCCTTTTGTCTCCAATTGTGCAGTAATTGCTTATTCAAAAAAATGTTTTCCCCCTTGTGCTGAATTTGTTTGGCTTTGTAATCTTTTAAAGTATATTCCTATGTTTAGATATAGCTGAAATGTCTAACATTAACTTTACTGTGCATACAAAAAGATGCCTTTCTTAGGTTGTTCAAGGAAGCTTTGTGCTTAGTGTTATTTTCTGTGCACTTATTAATCTCTCAAATTGTAAATAATGCAGATGGCCTGTAAATAAGGTAGATGGCCTGTAAAGGGATATTTACCCTAGTTTTCACAGGAATGAAATGCATACATTTCTTCCAAGAGAGAGGCAAAGATGTTTCTTCTGAGGAGAATAAGCTATTCTTGTGCTAGCTTTTTCTTGAAACGGCATGTTTAAACTTTTATGTGTGTCTGTCTGTAGCAGAGATGGGACTAGGGCCCAAAGTTCAGGTCTACAGCTGTAATTACCCCACGTTTCAGTATAAATAATGAGCTATGTAGACAAATACATGGTCATTCTTATGAGTGGGTTGAAGAGGAATTCCGTCTTTCTTTATCACTGGGCCTGAATATAATCGTGCTTGTACATACACAGCATATTGCTGCAGTGCAGTTGAATTCACCAGAGGGTAAGAGAACAGGATGCTCTTTCTTTTTTATTTCTAGTGTATGGCTAGCTTTTGGGGGCCAGGATGAACACTTATCAGTGAGTACAGCATAAAGGGCATAACTACTCCCAAAGAATTGCTGTTGCCAAATAGAGACTGAAAGCTTAACATGAGAATAAGTTATCCAGGTCTTTGAGGTTTTACACACATTCACTTGGTCTTTGTCTGTTCCCTCTCTGCCTTGGCATTCAGTGAAAAATCTAGGAAACTGGCTTACTGCTGGTAATGGTATTCAGTGAATTTTCAGCTTAAAAAAGAGGATATTATGTCAGCAACCTGATTCGGAGAGTCAAAACGTAGAAAACCTTCCATCTGACATGTTTCAGCTCCTGTGTCTGCCCTCACTTTCCCATCCCCCTCCTCTGAAATAAACAGCAGTTTGAATTTTGAGTAGTCAAAATTAACTGCTTAGGGACAGCCATAGGCCAGGATTTCTTCTTCAGTAAATCTGAGAAAATTGTAAATTGCTCACAGATAGTTTGCAAACAGAAGAAGAAGGGAAATTCATTAAATGAATAATTTACTCTGAATATGCACCTGCCTCTAATGATTATGACCTTGATCCAAACCCCACTGAAGTTGATGAAAAGACTTCCCCGACTTTAACTGGGCTTCAGAGCAAGACCAATTAGGGCAAATGCTCTATTTTGTGGGGAAATGAGCAATTTGAAATATACCCGAATATTTTTTACTTTCCCTTGAGTTTCTTTAGGAACAGAACACATTGGACTAATGTGGCGGAGGAAAGGTGATGGCTGTAGCAAGCTGGAGATATTCACACTCACTCAGAATATATTATTTTCTTTTACTTGATGCCAAATTATTCCTTTCCAGACATTTAGCCAAAACTAAATCATATTTTAAGTATACTCTGTGACATTTCAGCACTGACTGCTACAGCTAACATTCCCTCTGGCTAAATTCAACAAAAAGTGTTGTTTCTTACTCCATTACTGCATTCTAACGAGGGAACTCTGAAAAGTCTCCAAGAATCATAGTGTTGGCTCATTGAAAAACATGTTTTGAATTCCAATAATGGTTTTCTGCTTGTAGCAGTAGAGATAAAGTATAAGAATAGAAGAGTACTAGTATAAAAGAAAAGCTGTAGTCAGACTTTGATATGTCAATGGAGAGCAGAATAGCTGAAAAGAGAAAAAGTCACTGGTCCTACATAACTGATTCGTATAGCAAAGCAAAGCTCTGCATTCTACATCACACTTCACTTTCCTACTTTAGTAGTTAGGAAGGCAGATAGTTTAGTCTGATGGCAATAATAAAGAAAATGAATCTTTTACCCAATCTAAAAAGAGACATGTGCCCTGATGTGCTTAATAAGTGATTGCAATAGTGGTTGAGGTTATAACTAAATAATAGGGGAAAATTTAGATAAGGACAAAGAAGTTAATGCAAAACTAATAAAATAGAGAAAGACTAGGTACAGCAGTAGCTAAATCTTGGACCAATTTCATGCCTGAATTTTATTATGAGAGATTTTCTTTCTTTGATATGTCTAAGCATTAACTGTTATTAAACCCTAATGTCCTAAAATAGATCAGCTAGTCAGAAATGAAACTTGAATTGCTATAACTGTTGCATATTACCAGGGTGCAGGGATTCATTTCTTTCCAAGGGGAACTTTGTAATGACAAAGAAAAGGAAATATAGCAAGGACAGAAACCTTAAAAAATAGCCAGAAACATCACTTTGAAAATGTCGTTCTTTTGCAAGCCATGTCTCAACAGAACTGAGTTTGAAATATTGGCTCCACTAAAGTTATTGGCAAAACTCCACTGACTTCAATGGAACCAGGATAAACACACTGAGTATTTATGAAGTCCAAGAATGGAAATTAATCAGACAATACGAATACAACAGCCTATGTTTTGTGCCATGAATAAGGTGACCTCTTTCCACAGGAGTGGAGGCACCAGTCTTCCTTTGGTAAGTCCTATTCCCTGAACATTTTTTTCAACTGCCTGTCCTGTTATATTATATATAAACCCCTAGATAGAAGCTGGGCAACCCTTCTTTTTATGTATGGATACGTAAGCAAAGCATAGTGGCAGGCGACTGTGATTGGAGGTATTTGATAACATGGAAATGTTATTGTATATGATCAGTTATTACAGTTGGTCAAATTGAGTACTACAATTTTTGTTTCTTTTATTACTTTAGTACTGGTGAAGGGTGTCACCTTTCACAGCCCTGGAGACTGAGCCCCTCAATTCATTTGTGCCTTGGCCATAAGTGCCAGATTTCTGACAGAGCCTACCCTGTGCCTCAGTTCTGTCTTGCAGAAGACACCATCTGAGATGCCATCTCCTTCACCGGGCGCTTGACCTCTCTACTGAGAGTACCAATCAGTATGTCAAGTTTCAAACATGGACCGTTTGTTTGACCTACAGTAATTTGTTTGTTCCAGCCACATATGATTACTTGTTGATGTAGACATTGTTCCACAATGAATTAAACTGAAAACTCCAAATCTTTCACACCCATCAAAAACAGTTACTTTCAGACACTTCACCACAAACTAAATTTACACTCAAGCGGTAGAAGACTTGGGATCCCATCTTTGAAGCACAGACTTCTACCAGATATGAGGACCAGATAGGAAGTAAGCCATCTTTAGTTTTGTTTGAGATTTACAGAGACTATTTGTGCAGGATATATTGGGAAGGTGCCCTTTGCAGCCTCTGGGCATGTTCAG